GTGGTGAGATTGACCTATGAATCTCTCCATCATGTAACTCCATACGAAATGGAAGTCTTCACATCACTTGATTTCATAATCCCTACTTCGAACCCATATATATATACTTAGATCAGGAATAAATAAATAAATAAACTCGCATGTGTAGATTTCCTATTCAGTCTCTTCCAAATATGTTGCCCATGGCAAAGTAATTGATGCCATATAATATATAAATTAATTCCAAGAATTCCTCCGATATATCTTTGCTATATTGGAGTACTTTCATTTCGCTTGAGGAGTCTAGTGGAAGAGGTTCGTAAGTTGGTCTCACCTCAAGTCTAAAATGTGTCGCCTTTGAGGTGTGACAGTAGAGTTGTGCGAATAAGTTCTCGGCTCACCGCCCTGCGACCCAGGGGAATCTTTGCCAAACTTTCGTCCGTCATGTGACCGACATCGTCAGAACAGGACACCATGCTTTACGATAATGCACCAAAACATAAAGACAAGAAAGGAGACTGGTTACAATCCTAGCTACTTCTCAGTCTAACTACGTCCACTTAATGAGTCAAGAGCTTGTTCACACAAATCTAGTCACACCTCCAAAGCAATCTCCCTACAGCTTCCGGCGAGGTCAACTTACGAATACTTTCCACTTGCCTCTCCAATTGAAATATAAGCTAGTCCAAGATCAATCCATCAGAATTATGATTGCCACTTAAAGCGATCGAACAATTAATTGAGTCATGCAGTAATTAGCTAAGATAGGGGCTGGAAAAAATCTCATTGCTGGAACCCGTATCTGAGCGTATCTGCCCATTCAAGGCCAAATATGTATGCTATGCGGTGTATTAACCCTATTTATTTTAAGTTGATAAAATAATATATACGATATATTGGTATTCTCTAAACCTACTTATAAACGAAAAATATGTACCTCCCGTGTATGAATAGATCAATTTAGTCATTTTCTCTTAGCCTCACTTTTTACCTATTATGATCTACAGGTGCTAAGCTAAAGTTTACTCTCTCAGTTAAAGGAATGTTAGTGGACATAAGCACTACATTAAAACTTACGAGCAAATCACCTTTTTCTACTAACTACTACTAACTTTATAAGGCTTCGGAGATTTTATGTAAAAAATCCCACAGTAACTCGCTGCAAACCCTCGCTTCATCCACTAATCTGGTTAGCTGAAATCGTAGCCAGCTCATCACTTTCTTATCTGAAAAAAAACGACCGCTTTCGTCATGACTCATTCAATGCTAAATGAGGGAACGGGATTTCGCACCAGATTTACCTGGGCAATCATATCAAGCAAAGCTTTCATACAAGAGCCAATCAGAATTTGACACTTTTTTATCTACATAGTCCGCCCTATCCTAAACTACTTCTCCCCCTTTCGTAATAAATTCTGCCGCCAATTAATCGTTGAAATAGCTAATATTTGGCAAGGCAAAGTTCAAGCCCCTTTGTACAAACTCTTCGACAGGCATGTTAACCGTGGCCTTGTACGGACTACCAACTGACAAAACTTCTTCCTCTAATGGATTGTGGCACCTAAATGTCTTAGTTTCTCATCTGAAGAAAAACTTAGACGTACATATATACATGCCTTTATTCGGACGCTAAAGTGTTTGCCAATTAAATCTTCAAATAGCAATCCAGTGGCATTCCCGCGTTGCCTGTGCAACATGGAAATTTTTTTTTCGCCATAAAAAAACAAGGCATTAAAAGAACCATTAATCCGTTTAGCTCATTTCGCCTATATTACTATTACTTTTAAGGTATGGAAAATTCAGAGATTTCTCCAGAGGCATGCTAACAAATATAAAGTTCTGTAATTTTTCAACCGGGAGCATGGTTATATAACTATGGCTCCGATGTTTTCCATCGTATGACGAAAGCTTGACACATTGTGCACGGAATCGAAAGAGCGCCTTTAAGACAAAACTAAAACCCTATTATGAAAAGAAGCAAGTTTCCATTAACCTAAAGACGGGGCAATCCAGACTACAATTGAAACAGGCTTCACACAACCCAACGAATCATGCCTCCAAATAAACTTTACATCCGAGTCGGAATTTAAAACAATCTTAAGCCGACAATAATTCCACGCAGTTTAGCTCGGCCATTCAATCACATAACGATCGTGAAATAATTAGGCATGCTCGGGATTCTTCTTCTGAATACTACTAACGAATATATAGTTACTAAAGATCGAACCTACGAGGATTCAGAAATTGTATTTTTGTTTCATAAATAGGTTTTCGAGATTAACGCTGGATCCGATGAGTTATATTAGGCCTAGCTGGCGATGAAAGAGCAATAATTGAATTTTCCCAAATGATGCGAGTAAGCCCGATGATTTAATTGAATTTCACAGCCTTGCTTGCCAAAAAAGTATTCACATCAAAAGTGGACTTCGGTTTCGACTTCGTCTAGTAATCATCACCACCCAGTTGGACCCAAACCATGGCAATCCAATGCATAATCCTGTCACGCAAAAAACCACGCCATACTGCCACGAGTGCTTCGGGGTCATAGGTCAAAGTGAATTTCCAGGTAGCTGGGCGAGGTCGAAACTACAGTCCATCCTGGATAAGAATAACTTTTGGGAAGCAGAGCTATGCGAAATTCAATAAAAGCATGAAGCCCTCTCTTCATTGTGGGAAAATTAAACTACCAGCCCTTCACTCCAAACAAACAAGGTGAATAGAGCACAAGGGAAGTCAGTAAAGCACCCCTAAGAAATGAGTTGTGGACACAATACTTAGAGGCATAGAGGAACATGACCCATGTGTAAATGAATCCCAACCTCTCTTCAGATAAGTCTAGGTTTACTAACACAAAAGTGGAGGGAAACAATTGGAATGCGAAAATGGACGCTAGGCACCACTTCAATGCAGTTGCACAATACTAGCATTCTATGTTAAATTGGCAAATTGGGATATGCGCGAAATTATTAAGAAGGGCCATAGAATATATGGAATCCAAGATATTACTTTCCAACGGAAAATGTCTAGTCAGAAGAGCCCCAGAAGTATTGATATCATTCTTAGTACCAGAAAGGGGATATTCTTAAGCGAAATGCCCATTGAGATAAGGAGCGCATCAGGTGGAGTTCGATCTAGTGGACATATCAAAGGTAGAAATTAATAGTTGCAGTAGCATAAAGGAAAATGCACAATATAAAAGAAATGGAATCGATGGTATTGAGCTTAGGTGTCAAATACACATATGCAGATGAGTTCGCGAGTTTCATATTCCTACTTATATACATTTAAAGATGGCGAAGAAAAGAAAGTCTGCTGCCCAGAAAGGAAACCCCTATCAAAATGAACTAGGCAAACTTAGTGGACAGAAAAGGCATAAAGGCAATGTATCACAGTATACGGGCAGCATCTTTACCTTGTTATACACAAATGAAGATAGGAAGGAACAGAAAGCACACACAAGTAAAATTAACGGGTGAAATCAACGTCAGTATCAAGCATGCAGAGACGAGTTGGTATGAGATTCCATCGAAGCAAAATTTTACACAAGTGTAGAGTAGATATGAGTGTGTGCAGTAAAAATCAACAAAATTTTGCAGCTCTCTTAGTCCTGAACTAGGACGAAGGTCGAAGGAATTAAAAGAAACTATTTTCCAAGAGTTAAGTGAGGTATTTGTAGATCCGCTTATCTTCAGGGCACCTAGCTATGAATTCGCGCTCAATAAGGGCTTCGATGCGAGACTTGATAACTGGCGGTGTCGGCTTAAAATGATTCATCAACTTCTCCACGACCTCAGCAAGCAGCTCATTATGACTTAATGTTTTGCGTGCTTTCATTACACGAACAATAGTAGCGTCGATAGCAAACCGACGGTTTTCGTCCACCAAGGCACGCGTTTCTTGTTGTTCCGGTTCTGTCTCTTTTACAGTGATATTGGTTACCTTGAGAGGAAATAAAAGATAATGCAATTAGGACAAACGAAAGCAAAGCATCTGAAATGGGAAAATGAAGTAAGGCTAAGTGACCAATAGGTCACTTCCATAAACAGATTACAATTATTACATTGATTTAAGATCAAATATAAATTTTATCAGAAATATTTTCTAAAAAATTAAGAATTAATGAATTATATATAAATAATTTTCCATAATTAGAGACGATGAGTACGTACAAAACCTAGGAGAACAAGCCATAGATAATGCCAATGAATGTACTAAATCAGTAGCCCAATGGTGCAAATCAACATGAATACATTGGCAGAGAAATAATAGGTAGTTAGGTTCTACAAGATCTCCCTTTTGCTCCGACCAAGCTAGCAAAACGAGTAAAACTGGTAGTCTCGAAATTCTACTTAAATACGTAAAATAGTAAAACAAGGCCAGAACAACACGATATACCTCAAAGAGAATGTTACTAAATAAAAAACCATACCATTTTGATTTTCATAACTATGCTGTAATTAATGATAAGATTGGCGAATAATGTACTGATTACAACAGTTTAAAGACCTTTCTTAATTGTTGTAAACACTATGGTATTCATCCTAAATTTTGAAATCTGATGAGAAAATATGATTTCAAGATCAATGGTATATTATATCAAACTTCCCTGGAAAAATTAAGGAGGCACGTGAAATATAGAGGGAAAAATTAGTCAACTTTTAAGCTTAGAATAAGAAATGATTTGAGTCAAATTAACACTCCGGAGGAACTACTGGAGCCACAAAAGATGACAAATAAGATTTATGATAGGATTTGATAGAAAAAGATACCAGAGAAAGCTGAATGAATATGATATTTAAAGGCAGCCTAAGGTAAATCTACCCAGCAAACAGTAGGATTATTCTAGAATGACGAATATCGCATTCCAGACAAGAGATCGAGATAAACTAGTGATGACGGCAATCCTCAAGGAGGGATAAAATTTTGCACTTCGGAATGCAAGGACACTTTAGTGGTTATACATAATTTTAAGTTACGGGAAGAACAAAAAAGACGGAAATCATGGAAATAATTATGGCGCATCAAGAACCCACGAATGGGAAAAATATAGTCAAGATATGTAGAAAATAAAAAATAAACGATCAAATAGTTATACAAACCAACTTAGGAAGTACCACAGTAGTGATGGACAGGATGGAATGTAAAGATAATTGAAAGTATTCTCGAGACAAAAGTTTATCGGATAGAGTTAAAAATAAACACGGAGCAACACATAAACTGGCGAAAGTTACCTTCATTAAATTAAGGAAACTAGATGACAGATAATCAAATTCAGTGAAGAATTCATATGAATTCAGCAAAGAAATCAAAGCCATCAGTTGGGAAGTAAAATAACTATTGGTGAGCTTTGAAGAACCTTCAATATGCATGAATGGTTCGGGGGAAAAACGCTCACGGCACCGCCGGAGAGACTGGTAAGAGAAGACGAAATCCTGAAGATGGAGCAAATACAAAAGAAGACTCCACCCGGACGACCGCATCTATGACTAAATGTTTGGTATTAGGCATGAAGAACAAGATGGTGAGGCCTTCTATTTGTTCGCTGTACAGTGCAAGAGTAGCCTCATTTTCCCAATTTGGTAGGAGCTTCAAGGAACCTGTGGAACTACATAGACGGAAAAGTTAAATTTAAAATTGATGTGGAAGAGAACTAACACATACCCTTCTTTGATGTGGAGGTCATTCGCTTCAAGGAGACTCTCAAGAAATGGCTTTTCCGAAAGAGATAGCATGTAGAAATAATACTTAACTTTCAGTCTCACCAAATTTACAGAATGAAGAATATGAAATTCGAGACTATGGTCATAAGAAGCCTATTACTAACCGATTTTGAGTTCTGGAAAGATTAACTGAAAAAATTAACCTATATATTTCTTGAAAACCGACATCCAGAAGCAATACAACTCAGTATAAGGATCGTGATAAGTCGATGGAAGGACGAGGATAATGAAAGGAAATCAAGGGAGAGAGAAAAAAGGATGGATATGTGTACCGTCCTGTGAACTGGCTCGGATGCTGTGACCGCTACTATTGAAATAAAACATTCGTACAATCCTGAAAGAAAGGAAAACGCTCTCCACCAGCTTGCCCATCCAACATGAAGAAGTGAACGAAATGGAGTGCTCCGTAGTCTACAGCATAAACTGCAAGAACTGTAGGCACAAATAGATCAGAGACTGGAAGAGCAATTCGCTCAGGAATCAAAGAACATTAGCGACTCTGGAGGACGAAGGATACAGTAAGATTGGAGATAGCTGAATTCCTTGCCTTGGCAGGACACAGAATTGACTGGAATCCAAAGGAAATACTGAACTTTAGAGACAAGACCAAAACGGAAGATCAGGGAGACTGTGAACATCATGTGAAAGAAACCTAATGAACAGGAGATTGGAAAAAGAAAGTCAGCGAGAATTTCGGGTACCGCGACCCTGATGAATCAGTGTCATGCTTCGTCTGTACTGTCCAGACATAATTCGAGCAAGAATGCATGCTTTACACCGTTATATATGCTAGATCAATGATCTCAAAATTGTGTGGAAACCAAGTTGGGAAGCACAATACCAAGTCGTTCCCAGTGAGCCTGTGTGCTTGTCTGCATTCTTCGTATTTGTACATGTAGTGAGAGGCAATTGGCGATATGTTTAACGAGAACCCCAGAATTCGGTGGGACCGTCAACTTGAGAGACAAGAGTGTGCTTTACGTGATTCATGCGTGGTCTATCTTCACACCAGCGATTCCTGACCAAGCTAGACACAGGACTCCAGAGAAGTAGAAGGCAGTAAGCATGGGAAAGAGGATAACTATGTAACGGGTCTGAAGCCTAGGGAGAAGATACCTAGGTATGTGAATAAACGGTCTTTGAATCTTCAGAAATGACGTAAACGGATACCGGAATTGAGGGCTCATAGACAGCAAAACGGTGATTTTTATGTGTAGCAGGGAACAATTGACAAGTTGGGTGGGGCGGGGCAAAATGAATGTCAGAAGCAATGACCAAGAATCCCTGCAAACGGCATCTGAAACCTGTGGTGGAGGTAATTAGGCTTCATTAAATCTAGTTAAAGCGAGACATTCTTAGAAAGCAAAGAGAAAATGAGAAGACATTATGATGTAGATGGATAAATGGGCCATATAAAGAGGGGCTGGGAGAAAGAGATGCAGCAATAGAAGCTATGGCAAAATATAAGAGCGAGGAGTGAGGCCATAATGAATGAATAGAGAATTAGTCAAGTGCATTGTCTTCACTTGTCACTGATAAGTTGTAACTCTGTGCTGACGATGCCGATGAAACGTTTGTGAATGCATCAAGTCAATAGTCCTATGCTGGAAATCACGAATATTAAGACAAAGGATACAGGACTACGTTCGTTCCATAAGGTCTTCCTGATGCTCCGACCAAGACGCGAAAATGAGGCCGAACCAAACTATAAAGCTAGACGACTTCTGCCGAAAACAACGCTAAACCATCTTGGTATTCATATTTACCATAGATAATGATGTCCATGAACCTGAGCCAGGACTATAACAGAAATAAAACTATGAATAAAAAAACATTATTGTAAAATGAATAGCCAAAGTTATTTTAGTGAAATTATATAAAAAAATGCTTTCTCCCATAAGAGAATATTCGCGTCGAAATCGGAGTGGACGGAATGTTAATCATGTTATGCAAGAGAAATTTGATTCAGTCGATTCAAGGATATAATTTATTTATCAGTATATCATACATTGACAGTTTCAAAGAAAAAGCAAATGCAAAACAGAAGTTCAGAACCGATTGAATAACTTGCTGATTCGTCAAAATAGCATATAAACAGCACATTTAAATAAACCCGTACGACAATACTATTTTATTAAAGTTTGGGCCACAAACGAGGATAAGTAAGGATAAATTGGACTGCTCACAATAATAAGTTGTGGCTTCGACTCTAGTCGAATTTAATTAACATCCCCAAGGGAAACCTAAACTATCCTAAGAATTATATAGTGTTGAGGATACCTTGTAAAATCAGTCCGGGTTGGACGGAAAAGCATATTTTATCTTCAGGTCATAGTAAAAAGTCATATTATGCAGTTTTGAACAAGAAGAATTATGATTATCAATATTGTTTTGCTTATAAGTAGGTTTTCGAAAGTACCAGTAAATAATTTATATAGTAATTGTATTCGCCCTTGACGAAGTCGAAAATGTATTCCACCTTTCATTATAAAAACTTTTGAGGGAGTAAGGCTATGTGAAATTCAATGGAAAACTAAGGCCTACTCATATGAACGTAAGAAAATTCAACTACCAGTCCCTTTATCAACTTATAAACTGGATATATAAAGTCAAAATTTACTAAAGGCCGTAGTGCTAAACGTTAGAAAAACTGAGTGACAGTCAGGGTATTTATTTTCAATAAAAAAGCATATATACTTAAGTAGAATTTAAGGCGACTGACTTTTATTTTGTAATGCTTGGAAGCGAAAGAATCATTCACAAAGAACACATCCTGGGGGCCAATATCTTTACTACGTGGCTCCTTGCATAAAAACCGTTGTGTAGGTTTGGCAAGGGCAAGTGCCATAAGGCTTCGCATTAAATCACGATCTGGTATTCCTGTCTCTCGAGCAAGTTCCTCGTATGTATAGCGTGGCTGCTGATTGAACTTCATTAGGATTATCATTTGATAGGTTGAAACCTGAAAAGAACAAAGGTAAATAAATAAAGAGTAAACAAAATTAAAATCGAACTTAATAGAGTAAATTGAAGTGAAGTTTAAGAGAAGCTGTAAGAAAACAAATAGATGAATTCAAAATAGATTTAGTGACGAAAAAGCTACTGCTAGATGGATGAAACGAAAAATCTCACTAGTAATAGTGAGGAAGATCTAAATATATGTGAGAGTCGGCAAAACATGTAAATCAAAGAAAGTCTCGTTAATCTACCAATGAAACGATTGTGATCCAAGAGCTTCAATGCCAAAAATAAGGTAAAAATTGTGAAAATCAATGTGGCTAGTTAGAGCTCCATCCAAAAAACACAACGATGTGACTCCAGCTTGATCATTTAAGTTATCACTAAGTTATATCATTGGTAACAAGTTTTAAAGAAATTTATCGAGGCGCATCGATTTCGACAAATAATTATTAGACTGATAGTCAGCCATCTAAGAACTTCATTTGTTAAGATGAATTTAATTAAGATATGCACCCAAAAATCCAAGGTAGATATGAAGACCAAGATGGTGTGGCCTAAGGTTTAGTCACAGTCTCCTGTAGCTGTAATGATTTGGCAATTTATTCTGAGCTTCAAGGAGTCCCTTGTCCTCCGCCATAGTAGTCCTGATAATTTCCAGCATCGGATCGGTAACTTGATGCTTTCCCAGATGTTTAGCCGGCATTGTCGATGAGAGTTGCTAGCCTTACCTACGAATTATGACTCATCACAGCAGATGAAGGCAATTTTAAGGACCAATTATCTATCCAACGGATTCGCTTTCCTCTTATCCGAGGTTTTTAATGCCGAATCCTTTTTCCAGATAGTTATGACAAGTATTCAGTGTGCCCCTCTCGGAAAGTAAAGGAAAAGAAAGACTGCAAAGCAACTGGAAAGGGCTCGATTAACCTCGAATATGTTTGCAATCCTGAGCATAATAGGCATTGCATGAACATAACATATCTTCAAAAAGATACGATTTCAAAGCAGACACAAAATTGAGAACTGGCCGAACACATAAGCCACACATGACACCTAATAGAGTGGTCTAATGCCAAACTACACCAGTAAACGGAATATTAGGGAATCTATAGAAATCAACAAAACAGCCAATATTGAAGATGTGAAGACTAAGATGTTGTGGCCTCTCGTATGGTCGCATTTTCCTTTTGATTTATGGAAGTGGGTTGACCTCGTTGTCGCAACTTGGCCTTTTTGTCAAGGCGACTTAGTTGAACGCACCTAGTCCAAAGTCATCTGCCATAGTAGTTGTCATGATTCCCAGCATCAGACAGTGGACTTGATACCTTCTCAAATGTTTCGCCAGCATCGTAGTCGGCATCATCAGTAAGTTTTGCCATTCTCCACACCAAGCTACGAACTTGTCAAAGAGACAAGTAAAGTCAATCCCTCGACAAACGTTCTGTCAAAAACGGTTACACTATCACTCCTCTTTCTGTCCTGGCCCATCTATTAACTCTTTACAGAGTTCATAGCTTAATGTGGAGAATGGCAAAACACACTGATGATGCCGACTACGGTTCCGGAGAAACGTTTGAGGTACCAAATCCACTGTCTGATGCTGAAAATCATGACAACTACTATGACAGACGACTTCGGACTAGGTGGGTTCTACTAAGTCGCCCTTACAAGACCAAGTTGCGAAAACGAGATCAACCAACTTCTATAAAACAGCCAATACCCTGAATAAAGGGAACGAGTTTAGGAAATTAAGTGGAAACTATCTGTGGCTGTTGTATAGGATTAGAGAGAACAAGAAATACCACCGAACAAGAGGAGGCCTGATTAGCGTCAAATTTAGTCTTCACTCTCAAGCCATATGCGTCTCACAAGCATGTATGAACACAACACACGCGCAACGGAACGCAATCATATGCGGCATCATTGCAAGGTCAAATAACAAATATAAGAATTGTAGATGAGGATGCAGCTGTTCGGTCACAGTTGCAGCCACTTCACTTTTCAACATGTAGTAAGAGCATAGGATCTCCAATCAAATCATGAGATATCTCATTAAGTGGATCTAGCTAAACTATAAATACTAGTTGGGGGGACTTTCATTTCGTATGAAAGTGCATGAAGAAAAGATTCGTAGATCGATCTCATCTGATGATGTCGGTTCAATCGCGTTGTATTGCAGCCGTTTGGCTTTTATACGAAGTTCAGGTCGACGCATTCCACGAAACATTCTCCCTTTTTTTGGGTAAAAACGGACTGAGCTTTCGACCATCATATGATGGACATTATCAGAGCTGGATCTCATTCCTGTAAGTGTCACGTTAACACTAGGGCAAGAAGATTATCCGACTCTATCTTACCCCTTATATAGACTAAATTAAGCAAAGAAAATAAAAATCTAGATAGATAGTGGTTTGGCAAATTATCATGCATACTGGTCCTGCTACTTGTGCTTGAGTGTGTGCATGTAAGCATCTATACTCAATAACGTTCCTAAATCAGAGTTATCAAAAGGCCAATGTCAGGCTCCGATCATCAAGACCTAACGACCCGAGAGAAAGGCCTGACCGAGACTGTAAGTCCGTAAGCAATTATAGTTGAGATAATGAGATATGAGCTTGAATGTAAGTCAAATTGCGAAACTAGTCGTCCAAACCTCTCAATTTAGGGTCAATTACAAATAAACGCTCAGGGAAAGGCATGACTAGGGCTTCGTAATCTGGCACGTCTGGTTTGGTTGATTAACTTAAGCTAGCATGTTGGAGGAGTGCGAGTGAGGTTAGAACAATCACCGAGCAAACAAATTGAGTCGCCTTCCTTTTGACGGCGGCTCAAAACGCTCTCTTTCCTTCAATCTATCAATCAAAACTTATATAGTTCCTTTGACCTTGTTTTCTCAACTTGGTCATATTGGTAGGAAGACTTAGAGGAACGCACATTGTCCGGAGTCCATTGTATGCATAATCATTTCCAAA